AGCTGTTTGATGGGTTGAGAAATTTTATTTGGTATAGCAATAGATAAGATATCAAAAGTTTTGAACTCTTCTGTATTTTTTGATGGTGAACTATAAGTTTGGTTAAATATTTCTTTGTCTAAAGAAGTTGGTTATTTTGTTGAAGTTGAAAATGAAGTAGGGACTGAAGTAGACCAACAGTTTTCAGAGCAAAAAAAACTAGATACAGGGTAGACTTTTTTTGTTATCTTTGAGACTTTTGACTCAATATAACACTCTCTAGTAATAAAGAATAAAAGGGTAGAAAAATAAAAACCTTCTTTATACTGGGTTTTTTAATTAAAAATGAAGTTTTAAAAAATTTTTTTTCTTTAAAAGTGTGGTCTAACGAGGTAGAGGTTGGTCAGTCAGTCTTTCGGTCCTGAACGGTCCTGAATGGTCTTTGGAAAAGTTATAAGGAATGCATCCTTAAAATTTTGAGATATAGCAAGTATGGCTAAAGATCAATAAATGTCAAAATTTGGCTTTTATACTTCTTTTTTTAAGATCAGCAGAGGTGAAATTTGTAAAAGATCGAAAAAATCAAAAAATACTGATTTTGGTAAAATAAAAACCTACCTAGCTCTAAATTAGGTGATTATATTGAAAGACCAAACTTTATCACTTTGCGGACTTTAATCAATTCTATTATACTACAAAAATTTGGGAGTACTTTGCCGAAAATTCCCTAAAGACTGATCAAGACCAATCAAAGACCGCTGACTATTTCTAGGTAAAGAAGAGTTTTTTTTTTTAGCATTTAAAATTCAAACTTTAATTTTAATCAAGTAATTAATGTTTTTTATTTTAATTTAATATTTCTATTTATATAAATTAAATTAAAATTGTTCATTGTAATTATATTTAAAATTACATGTCTATTAAAAAGTTGGTACAAATTCACAATCATGTGTTAACATTATTTATATATTGTGCCTTTGCAATAGAAAGGGGGAAAACTGCCGGGAAAAATTAATTTTATTTTTATATGCCAAAAGCATAGTGGGCTTAAATGTGATTAGTTGATCTTCAAAATGATCGTCACATAATAATTTACTATAAAAAAGTTGATCACCTAACCTTAAATGGATTGGCAGTTATAAAAACGAATTGGCAAAGGTTGTGACCAAAAAAATTCAAAACTATACCTTTTGTTTTATAGACTGTCAAAGTAATTCAGTTAATAGTGAGTTAATTCAGAAACTAGCTAATAAGAGTTTATTTTATTTCAGCATTTTTTATTAAAAAAAGAATATAAAGCAAAATGTCTATGCAAGAAGTCCACCACGAAGATCCAGCTCCCTTTGACAAGAAAAGGGAAAAAGAAAGACTCAACATTATGATTTGGAAGGCCAGAAGGGCATCATTTGTGATTATGAAAAGCACAGCGCATCTATTGTATCTGAGAAAGTGATAATACAAAATTTAAGTCAACATCTGGACTTGATTGGCAAAGCTTTGTACTGAAAACTTTATAATAAATTAATAGTAAACGCTAAAAAATCTAAAGTTAACAATGAATGTTTACATCCAAAACACGAATTCTACATTTCTACAGCTTGATACGGTATGGAAATGAAGAATATCAAGAAGGCTCCAGAACGATTAACTAAATACTTTGAGCTACCATAAGAGGCAATGATGTGTCACCATTGCTTATATAAAACTGACACTGATTCAGAATATACTAATTTGCCCAATTATCCACCAGCACTAGAAAGAATTCCGAAAGAGAATATAAGAAAATTTCAAGATAGGTAATATGTATTATGAAGTGATGTTATTTACTCTGAGTCCGAATTTTAGGAATTGGAAGTTTCATATAACGATGTATGTGTAGAGCTTGATTAAGCAAAGCTAGGTAAGTAAATAATTTCTTGTTTATAATTGCATTTCAGTTTCAGACCGTTTACTTATATAATCAAATATTTTAGAATTAATCACTCTCAACAAAAAATTAAACTAATGGCAGGGATGTTGTATACAAGGCAGTGTGTGTATAATGAAAGACCCATTCTTGATCCAGAAGATTTCAGAAAAATACTTGAGGAAGCTGAACCATTGTTGAAAGGTTTTTTGGTCAACTAGTAGCTGGAATTAACTCGCAAGCTAAAAGTCAAATGACTAATGAGAAGAATAAAAAAAGACTGGTTTCATTTTGTTATTTCTTAGCGAGACTTAATAATAAATTTATTAATGGGGTTAAAGCAAAGGTTGGGCTTTTGCTAGATGCATCTGAAGTATCCTCATCAGCAATAGAAACCTTAGCTGGTGCAGATTTGACGGTAAGGCGTGAAACTATTGCAAGACAGAAAGTCTGACATGCAGAAGCACATACAATGACAGTGATGAGGTTTTTATTAGAGAATGTAAGTATATGAATATTTTTATAAGTCTTATTGTTCATAAATAATTAACTAATATATGTAAACCTTTTCACAGATCAGGAGCTTGGTTGTTCTTGATGTGAATGATTTTCATAACATTCACAAGTACTGTCGTAGTGACACAACAACTATACATGAAGTTTTTCATTTTATTATAATTCTTTTAAAAGCTTTGCCAGAAACAGCATCTATCCTATTTTATAATCCTAATCAAGAAAAAAGTATTTATAATGAAAGGGGTATTGATGCAACTATCATTATACAAAATGCTCATGAAACCTTCTTTCCTTATTTATGGCTTAGTTATGCAGGACGAAAGCAAACATTTGTTGATTTAGTATTCATGACAGAAACCCATGATAAACGAGTCAAACGTCTCTTAATTCCTAGCTATGATGATAGGATTGAACAACGTCAGATCGATCGAAGCATAGAAAATATGAAACTTGTTGATTTAAAAGAAGAATCCCTTCATTCGACTGAAGATTACGTGAACACTCTTAAATATTTGATGAATATATCTGAAATAGAAACTTATATGGAGATATGAGTATTAGTGATACTTATGAACTATCCTGGACAACTTCACGTATGGCGTGCCATCACCTATCGCATCAAATCCGGAGATTCTTCTGGATTACCAGAGCAAATTCTGCATATCGTTCCAATGATTGGACCTTTGCATATATCTTTAAATAGTTGTAAGACGGTATTTCTTCTAAATTATCGGTTTTTTGACTTGCTTTTTCATGAGATGTTGGACGTAATAAGGTGTTAGCGAAAAAGCCAAAACCTTATAAGATCAATTTGATGTTAGAACTAATGTCCCAAGGTTGGTCTCGAGTACATTCTATAATTATGTGGAAATTTGAACATTCTAAAGATCCAGAAGCCAGATATCTTATTAATTTGCTGGACAACATCATCCCGTTGGTTCTAGATTTTTATCCCATTATATTTCATAGTGTAAATTGGCAAGTATACATAGAAGCGATGTTTCACATTTAGACTGTTTTTATCAATATCAACGCAGACACTATAACAAATTGCCATTGACGTTTTTGAGTGATGTTTTTTATTGGACTAGTATTAATCATCCCATTTCACAATCTCTTACAGATTCTCTTCATGTTTTTAACGATTATTTTGTGAAGAACTTTCATAGCTCACTTCGATGGCAAATATGAAAATCAAACACAGTGGAGCAGATTATTTGAGAAGCACACATAGTAAATCAGATGCGCAGCAGCAATGCTTTCACAGATATGTTTGCTGAGAATCATAATATTAGATATATAACAAAACACCTGAAATACCTTGAAAAGCGTATTGCACTTTTCCTTTTAAACATTTTCACAGATGTTTATTGGAATCTTGGTAGGTCAAAAGTTATTTCGTCTGACGTACGTTTAAAACCCAAGATATATGAACTTCTGACACTTAAAGCTCAAGGTAACGTAAAATATTGCCAATGGCTTAGAATATGACACATCTTCCACGAAAAGATAGATACTGTGACTTAGAGGGCTGTATAGATTCTTGCGAGGTAGGTTACATTCTGATTTGTGAATATGCTTATCATTTCAAATGTTTTTTATTCAAATCAGGGAGCTAATGCCGATATTGTATTGATTATCTCATAAGCGGAATCGAAGCAAATTGTAAGGCTTTTCAGAAAACTCTGAATTTATTAGGCGTGAAGGCAAAAGATGAGGGTATAGATGAAATGGATGTTACTGAACCTAGTGATGATACTAACATTAGTGATGAAGACTTTTTCTTAGATATAAATATAAATCAAGATAATATAGATCTACTTTTTGAAAGGGCCATAAATGCTTTAAAAAGTATGTAATTTGAAGGAGATTTTGTAGATTGCAAAAGTATCAATATAAAGAATTGTAATTTTAATGATTTAATTAAACATAATAAACATAATTTGATATTTTGCAAATAAAAATAAAATTGATTTATAGAATATTTTTTTTATTAAATATCTTTTTATTGGGATTAAATAATCATTTATCATATTCGACTGTTCTTTGATTAACTATTTTTTACTATTTTTTGATTTAATCACGTGATATTATCAACCAATAGAATTTCAGCAATAATAAAAGTGATCTGCAAAATTAGCCAATCACAATGAAAGCCCGCTATGCTTATGCCAAATATGATTTTTAGGCTCAAATTTAACATTAACTCATTTTTGAATTTTCCCCTTTCTATTGCAAAGGTCCCATATATATATTTGAACTTTTTTTTTTTCCGGAATTCCGAGATTGTAATGATATATATATATATATATATTTTTAAATATGATCATATTTCGTTTTTAACCATTTTATTACTTTTAATATTATACCTGTATAAATTCGACAAAATTTACTATGAAAAATTATAATAAAAAATAATAAAATTCCGGCGGCAGGACGCCTATTATCAGGGTTTAGAAATAAATTAATTTTTTTTACGCGATCTTAAAACTTTTCCGCCACGAATTCGAATTATAATTATAATTACAAATTCAAAATTCCTTCATCGGTATTCCATTTATAAAGTTGCTCTTCAAAATCTTTAGGGTTCCAATCTTCATCATGTAGCAAGGTAGGGGAATCTTTCCAAACATAAGTCATTGCTTCTATAAGATCGTTTTCAACATATACTTGTACTTTCTTTTTCTCATATTGCTGAAGAAACCGAATTAAATTAATGTATTATATTTATTTATTTTTTAAAAAAAAAATCAACCTATGTACACTTACAGAACCCTCAAAGTTATCTAACCTAGCTATATCTTGCGATGATAAACCTTCAAGTAAAATACCATTTATCTCATCTTTTAAATCATCTCCCTTTAAAATAGCGGGATAAACTGCTCCAATAACTTTATGTCGTTTATAACCCTTAATGATATGATTGAAAGAGAGGAATTAATTAATTACGAAAAAAAAACTAACTAAATTTTGATAATAAACTTACCTTTAATACCGCGGAAACTCTTTTTTTGATATTAATAGGTTTTTCTGTGTTGCTTCTTCCATTCTCTAAAACACGTTTTAATATTTGTGGGAATATAAGTGTACCATAAAAGAAACATGTAAATTCATCGCTCATATTCACCAAAATTTCTTTAAATTTTATGTTTTCAATTAAAAATTATAATTCTACGATTTTTAGAAAATCAGTTAGAAGGCATTTCAAAAAAATTCATAATTTAAATAATTTTTAAAAATTTTTATTCGCACAAAATTTAAATTTATACACCACGTGGTAATTCGGGTTAGACAAGATTTTTTATTATATATTAACTTTCCTTTATAACTTTTCTCGTTAGTTAGGCTCTATCCATAATTTAGATAAATTCAATGGTCCGTTCCAATTGATTTGCTCGTGTTGCAATTCCTACTTGCAGTAATGAGTAGTTGAAATATCTGACTACCATAATGAGCCTTGTTTTAAGATAAATGAACTATTTTTTTTTTTGTATGACAAAAAAAAAGATGATCTTTGCTAATTTCAAAAGTCACGGGAAGACGAGATTTAATTAAAAATACGATCGACGTTACTACGCCTCGTCCGTATTTTTAAATTTCTCTCCTCTTTATAATGTTGAAATTAATTTCAACACAAGAATGTCTCAATAATCTTCGAAATTATAAACCAAAAAATGATTATTTACACGTACAATATGAAAAAAGAGCCGCAGTATTGTTATCATTAATCATTAAGGAAGAATTGGAAATTTTATTTACATTACGTTCACCTAATTTATCAAGTCATGCGGGAGAAATCTCATTACCTGGAGGTAAATATTTGAAGTTTTGGTGTTCTCGGAATTTAAGGCTTTTTTGTTTAATTTTTCTATTGTAGGCAAAGTTGATGATATTGACGAAAATTTAATTGCCACTGCAGTAAGCTTTACATGTAATCAATTTATTTTAATGTAATCGATTTAAAATCATTTAAATAGTTTAGAGAAGCCGAAGAGGAGGTAGGATTAAAGTCATGTGACGCAGAATATTTAACACATTTTGAGCCATTTATGTAAGTAATAAATAAATTTTGTTTTTTTTAAAAAAAAAATGTATCATTTTAATTTTTAATCGATTTTTAAATAGCTCAAGGCATTTATTATTAGTCACACCGGTAGTGGCATTGATAACAAATCCATCATTTAGACCTATACCAAATCCATCAGAAGTATCTGAATGTTTTACAATTCCATTAAGAGTATTCATATCTAAGGAATATCATGTGTCATATGATATCCCATGGAAAAATCACGTATTTAAACAACATCATTTTAATTGGAATAACTGGACTGTCATTGGTTTAAGTGCTGTTATTTGTGTTGAAATAGCTAAGATTGCTTTTAATATACAAAATGTTGGTTGGGAAGAAATGGCCAAAGGTCAACTTTCAAGGCAAGAACATGTTGAAATATTATTGGAAAATATTGGAAGCATTGAAAAACGATCGAAAAATAGCAAATTATAAATCACCAAACTAGAAGGAGCTAAAATTTTGTTTTTGTAATATTAATCTTTAAAATGTTTTATTATTATATTATAGGTTTGATACAAAATATATAAGTTAAATGCAAATTACTTTTTGTGTTTTTTGTTTTTTTCTATGCGTTTTTTTCATCATCACAACCACACTTATATTTTTCAGCAACCGTTCCACAATCAAAAATTTCTTTTTGTAATCTTTGATTAACGATATTATGAACAGCACAGGCCCATTGTGATGCTGCAACTCTTGAAGAAACTTGTGGCGGATATCTCGCAAGGATGGCTTGAAATTCTGTTGCGCTATAATGATAATAACTGATTAGACTGATGTTTGATTAAAAGAATATACGCATTCATGCGTTAATTACCATTCGCCGCAAGGATATAATCTACTAAATAAATATATGAAACTTCTAAGAGCTTCTTTTTCATCTGTTGTTGGATGTTCCGGAAATCGCCCCATCATAGTATGAAGTAACTAATGAATGATGAAAAAAATTAATTCGGATCCGAAAAATATAAATTATCAACATAATATTTATTTATTTATTACATTCCAGCTGCTACGTCCAAGCTCGGCTCTTTTGAAAAAATAAATACATCAGTAAATAATTGCATGAGTTGGAAATAAAAAAAATATTTTCGCGTTAATTAAAATAAATATATACTTGATAGTTGCATTCCCTAATTGGGGCATTACGACTGGCCCTGTTATAACATCTTTATTAATCTCGGGCAATGGTGTGATTTGTTCACGAGTATGAATAGAGGCTTTTAAATAGAAAAATGACGGCAATATAACTACAAAAAGTAAGAGGAAAAATAATGAAAGCGGACGCATGTTATGTGCCTTCTTTTTTTTTTTTTTTTGAAATAATAAATAATTAGCCACAGTAAAGTGGAGTAATTTGAAATTAAATAACTAGATCTTTTTTTATTTCATTCACGAAAATTTCGATTTATTGCAATATGTTACCCATTATAGTAATTGTTCCATTCAAAGGAATGATATTCTATAAACATCCCATCATTTGACAAATAAAAAATAAAAATAAAAGGCATCATCTGAGGTGTGGTGTGGATTTTTTTTTTATTACCAATCTTTTCTATTGGGGCAGATCTCTCTGGTTTCGTGAAGACGACATTATTCGTCAAAGTCCAAATTTACCTTTTACGTTTATTCTTTTCCCACTTTTTTTATACAAAAAAATGGCCAATAAAAATAAACAGCAACATAAACAATCTTCTCCATCACGTAAAGTTCAAGAAACGAAAGAGAATGTTTTCTTGTTTATTCCAAATATTATAGGTACATATGATGTGGGATTTACTTTCTTTATTATATATATATCAAGCTCTCTTCATTTGCATTTATAATGAACCGTTATTTAGAAAATTTTTTATTATTTTTTTATGTATTATATATCTTTACCAACATACTCTTAATATTTTATTTTACATTAATAATTTCTTAATCAGGCTTAAAAATTTAATATTTATGTGATAAATTAGGCTTTACTCGGGTCATTCTTGCCATATTATCACTGTATTATATGCCAAACCAGCCATGGACGTGTATGGGCCTTTATATAATTTCATGTTTGTTGGATGCCGTAGATGGCAATGCTGCTAGATATTTTAAACAATGTAAGTGTTTCATCATAATTTTTTTTTTTTTTTTTAATCGCTTAAAATGTTGATATTTTTATATAGGTAGTAAGTTCGGTGCGGTTTTAGATATGGTAACTGATAGATCAACAACTTCCTGCCTATTGTGTTTCCTTGCTACTAAATATCCCTCGTGGACAATTTTATTTCAATTATTGATTTCTTTGGACCTTAGTAGTCATTATATGCACATATACAGGTTAATACTTTAATAAATTAATCACGTGGTTATTTTCTATAAAAAAACCATCTCATCTAAACCATTTTGTATTTAGTTCATTGACATCCGGTTCTTCGAGCCATAAACATGTTTCTAAGTCTTCAAATTTTATTTTGCACTCTTACTATTCTGATAATGTAAGTCCTTTATGTGTGTGTGACAATACCCTTTTCTTCTTTTTTATTGTTTTTTGATCGAATGACGGTACTAACGATATTTTACAGAGAGTCCTTTTTATCTTTTGTGCGTTAAATGAATTGTTCTTTGTTGCTTTATATCTCTTATCATTTGATCATGAAGGTTTAGGTACAAATTATTTCAATTCCTTTTTTTCCTTCTCTATTTGGGTCGCTAATTAATATCATCTTCCATAATATTATAGCTCCATGGTTAAATATCACAATTAAATCGATTGCTTTCCTATCTTTTCCCATTTGTGCAGGAAAACAAATAATTAACGTGATTCAATTAACTCGTGCTAGTCAAACCTTAGCTAATATTGATCTCGCTGAACGAAGAAAAATTTGAAGACAATTGAATCGAGTTAAATTTCTACCCTCATTCTTTTAATATAATCATTTAGCATCTTCGCTTTAAAATGATTTCTGAAAGGTTTTTAATTGATTCATGTTTTAATTACGTAACGCTAAACCTTAAAATCGGCAGCATTCTTCTTTTCCTTTTATATAGGATTTCTTTCTTATACCTAATTTATCACTTGTATAATTATTGTATTTCTTTTCGGTGAAACCAATATCAAATTAATAAACGAAATTGTACAATATAAATGGGTTCATATAGAAATGTTTCAAGTCAGACCTTTATATTAAAAAAAATAGCCGTTGAATCTATCTTCTTGAGCAAATTGAATGAGTGCATAGTCATGGAAGAAAAAAGAATTGAAAAAAAAAAAATTAACAAACCCTATGATGAGATTCTAAATTTTACATCGACTCATTAAACTTACCTTCAGTTTGCAACACTGAATTAATTCTAATATGAAAGAAACTTCAAAAAAAAAAACAAAAAAAAAAAACAAAAACGACAGCTTGAAATTTTGAAACAAGTTTAGAACTATGTTATTATTTAAATGTCCATAAAGGCTAATATTTTGTAGTAATTCAAAGAAATTTAGGATGTTCTAATTAATGAAATTTTTATTTCAAATTGATATATATTAGATTTATTGCGAACGTCCACGATTGCCACGAGGCCCACCACGGAATGCCCTAGCTCTACCTCCACGGGCTAAAATTATTTTTTTTTGTCAATAATTAATTATCAATCAATATAACATGCTACAAAAAATTTACAGAATTCATTCATACCTTGAGCTCTAGCAACGGTAGCTTTACCTCTACCCATTCCTATGCCTCTACCTTTCATAGCATTTGGACCAATCTTCTTAAACATTGGAGCATTCTTTAACATATCTGGTACGATAAAGAATCTTACGTGTGAACCTCTAATGTAGACTTGATCTAATTGAGATACACGTCCATCTCTTGCTGTAACGGTAATTTCACGAAGTTGCACGTTCATATTATCCTCAGCTAAGAATATTTTTTTTTTTTTTATATATATACGTTATCTTTGAGTTGGATCTATTTCTAACCTGCAAAAAAACAAAAAGAATTGTTATTTTTGTTTTACCTTCAGATAACTTTCCTCTGTAAACTGTCCCATTGTTTAATTCTAAGGTTACAACATGTCCCTGAGCTTCGTGAAGTAATTTGATAGGCACTCCAATCGACATTTTGTAGGTTGACTAATAAAATGTTTGAGAGATTTTTTTTTTTTTATCCCGTCTATTACTTTAACTAATTTTGTACATATAGCTTGTGTAACACTCTAACTTATAAATAATCTAAATAATCTTCAAATTCGGGCATTTTGAATAGATTAATTAATCAAAAAAACCAACAATGAATTGAATATAACCGGTATGAACCAGTATTTCATTTAATATAATGGACAGATCATGTTACGCTTTAAACAAAGGTGACATACTAAATTTCCAAAAACAATTATGTGTTCACTATTAAAAATTACATACAACGTCCTACATAACCTTCTTTTTCATTAATACTGACTTGTCCATTCTTTTAATTTTAATAACTTAACGTTTCCCTTGTACAAAAAAAAAAAACAAACCTGCGAGTTCCTCTCACTCTCCTCAAATTTTTTCCATAATTCTGTACTCGGGAACCCGTAGGTTTTTTTTTTTTTTTTATTCTCTCTCCCCCTCGGAATATATAAATTATTATTATTGTACCGCAATTTAAGACTGCATAATAAATAAATTCACCGTGCCTTTAAAAAAAAGTGCCTCAATTTTGGGGCGGGTTCCCTTACTTCGAATAATTAACCCTCCTTCTGCAACTTATCTTCCAACTCATTATGAGCCAGGGAGTTGGCAATATCAAGTTGCAGAAAACCTGGTAAAACTGAATGAATTATCATAATTATTTAAAATTTAGCCCTATACTTCAATAATTAAATTTATTTCTTTTCTTTTCCTTTCCCTTTTTTAGGTAAAAGGTAGAGGGAATTATGAGTATAGCGAGTCCGGTCCACCAATTTTACCAATTGTAAATATAGAAGAATCTATGCAGAATAGGTCAATAGTATCATTACCTAATGTTGAGGGTTCAAATTCAAAAACGCTAATAACTTCATTGGACCCAAATGATCCTAATTCGGACAATATGTTCTCTGATTCGAAAGAAGTTATAATTCCTTTATCACCATTGAAAAAAGTTATTACTACTAATTCGGATAATGGATATTTACCGGTTCAAGATTCGGATAGTAATAGGATTTCACAGGCGTCATCTGGCTCAGGTTCATTACCATCCTGGGCTTACGCGTATTATACTCTTCCATCAGACAGTAACAGGGATACCCTTTTGCAAGATAGAACAGATGAATCAGACATAATCATATTGGATCCTTCAACCTCTGCGGCAGCAGGTGTTGGAACTCCTGATTATAGCAATAAGAAAAGCAATTCTCAAAAATCCCCATCGAGTCGTAGTAAACCTTCTCGTTTTTCATTTAAAATACCTTCTACGACAAGTTTTTATACATTATCACAACGAGCATATCATTACTCAAGGGAACCTTTTATTATATGTCCATTCGGTTCGGTTTTGTTTACGATGGGATTTTTATTTCCACCACTTTGGTGGTTTGGATCTTTTTACCCTCGACATTCAAAATCTACCACGGATTTTCGGTGGAAAAAATACAATAGGTTAATGTCTATTTTTTCATTCTTCTTGATAGCTGGTATATTGGTTATAACAATTTGGTATTTAAGATATTATGAAGAACCGGATGAATTTAGATTGGTATAACAAGAGTTGGACTTTTTTTTTTTTTTACCTTAACCTCTGATTTTAATTTTGGATTTTATATTTATATTTTGTATTTTTATTTTTTTATTTATTTATTATTTATTTATTTATTTTGAATTATTATTAGAAAAAAAAAACTTTAATAGATTTAAATTTTCCTTAATATTTTTTTTTTTTTTTTAACATTTAAACTTTAATAACGATAATAATTCGAGAAATTTACTCTTTACACCTTTTTTTTGTGTACATAATAATTTGATTTTTTTTTTTTTTTTTTTTTTTTTTTGTGCTGGACTTTGGACAAATTCCTTTTCTCACCAAATAGATAATTAGTACCCTTTTAGAATTAATAAAATTTTATTTATTACCGATAAACCTTTTTTTTTTTTCGTACATGACAAATAAAATTGCTATAAATATAAATATATATATATTGGAATTTCAAGCGTAAAGCGATCTTTTATGCTTCTTAGAGAAATTCGAAACCTTTGTTAATTGTAATTTCATAAAGTTGAATTATCAGTGAAAACCTCGATCCATTTTCTTTTGACGAGCATTCTTTCGATCATGATTAACGTGTTTTTTTCCATGAAACCGTTGACCGTGTGTTGAGAAAGCACCAGAAGCAACAGAATCACCATCTGCACCTTTTGCGTCATTAATACGATTGGAATCATTTACACCATTTGCGTCTTTAACATCTTTAGCACCACTTGCGCTATTTGCATCATTAGTATCATTAGTGTCAACAAAATGTTCACGTGCTCCGCCTTTTCCTCTATTTCCCCTGGTCCATCCTCTACCTCTATTATCTCTACCTCCTCTAATTTGTTTATATCCTCCCCTTCCCATATTATGTCTACCCCTATTTTGATTTTCATGCTGATGGGAAGTGCTAGAAGAAATTTCGCCAGAATCATTAAAAGGTTCTTCACGATTGCCTTTCCACTCGTATTTCAAGAGTAATTTATCTTTTCTCGGCTATAGAAACGAAATAAAGTAAAATGAAAATAAATCTTTTTTTAAAACCCCCCCCCCCCCCTCGACTCAAATAATTTTAAAGATATTTACGTTTCTCTGGAACATGATATACCATCCCTCTATTTGTTCATCAGTCATTTGTGTAATTCTCCTAAGTTGAGCGCGTTTACCTGACTTTCGTACAACGCTCGTCCTATCAAATACTGACGGATCTGATTGAAACCTTTTGATAAGTTCCTCTTCGTACATAATACCAGGATCAATCTTAAGTAAATAAAGAAAAAGGATTTATGTCAGTGGATATATACTTGTTTTTCCAAGAAATGATCCAATTACCTCTGTTTTATCACGTGAATTCGTGTCTGTTCTGTCATCCAGTTCGTCAACCATGTGAAGGTCGATTCCACGCATGTTCAAACCACTAGTATCATAAGTATCATCATATTCATCCTCATACATCATATTGTAAGCCACATCAATTATTGATTCTTTATGAGTTTCAACAAATGATTTATCATCCAACAATTTATCAACCGTACCACGACTTAATAGAAGAGAAACAATAATTCGAATTAAAAAGTAATTCAAAGCAGAACATGTGAATTTGCAATATAAACTGTATAATGACCAACTTCATCTTTCCTTTATGCATTCTAGATACATCAAGATTTTTTCCTGAAAACGCATCGAATTCATCATTATCAAATATGTTCTTACGTTGAGAAAGTAAGTCATCACCTAATGATAGAAATTTGAATATTATTAAAAAAAGTCTTCAAATTCACAAATATTTAAAAAAAAAAAAATATCGAACCATTTTTGTATTCAACTGCTTCCTGACTAAAAATGCCGTGTAAAAAAAAAAAATAATATATTTCACAAATAAGCTTAAAAAGTTACTAGTACTGCGAAAGCGTAAATCAATTTAAAAGCATATCATACAGTGCCATATTACGGTCCAATGATGCTAGATGTTCTGGAAGTTTCATTGACAATAATCGATCTATAACAGTTTCTACATTATTATCAAATGCAGTCAAACATTTCTCAATAAAGCCTTCTCCAAGATCAGGGAACACTTCTTGTACTTGCGATATTAAGTGCATTTCATCCTCATTGATTCCATTAGACTAAATAAAAAAATAAAAAGGCATGAATTGTTGTTAAAATAACTTTTTTGCGAACGACAAATTTTAATTATTCTACCTTGATAGTAGAATCAACAATTTTGGTTTTTCTTCCATTAAAACCATTAGATACAGGCGACATATGCCGCTTTTGCTTTTGATCTAATCGCATACGCCACGGTGCCTTATCAGTTTCTTGATTCATATTTTGCATAGATTCCAAGGACATTATTATATAATCAATTTCAGCATCTTCAGTGCGAAAAAATTAAGGAATACTATAATAGATAATTTCACATAAAAAAAAAGATAAATATAAAAATTTATAAAAGGATATCCACAAATTTCATTTTTTATTTTGGTTAATTTTCCAATTAAATCGAATTCGATTTCCACATCCAAAAGTAGAGGGGCATCAATAAGATATTGTACGGGTTTCTCTAATGGTGAATAATTAATCATAAACATAAATCCACTAATCATCCTATTTAAAGTTTCATTCAAATCTCCCAACTTTTCATCAGACTTTGTAAACATAAAAATATCTTCTTCACTGGATGTAAATCCTAAAGGGCTAAAATAACATGCATCTAAAGTATGATACGCTAATGAAATCAGAGCATGTTTTAATATGTTAAAATCACGATATATTTCTTGAGAAATAAATATATCTAATATTAAGGGTATTATGTCATCATAAAATATGTTTATTGTCATTAAAAAATCTTCTTCATCCGAATATCCGTTTTTGCTGAATATGTATGCTATAGATTTCGAAACAGTAAACAAACAATCTAAAGTGATAGATAAGTCTAAAATATAACTCAAATAAATCTTTGCATCTGATATTATTGAATCACAATTAACATTCTCACTCATGCGAACTTTCTCGTTCAATTCTTTAAACTTATCTTGGATTGCCTTAATAAAATTGTACAAAGTAATTGAATGCAATTCGAAGTCTTTCGTCAATTCCGGAACCGAATCCATTATATTGTCCAAAATTTTTTTGGTACAAGTAAAATTGGATTTTCCATAGGTTGCAACTAAATCAAGTAAAAATGGTACAGAGATCCAATTTTTACGATAAATTTCTCCCATTAAAGATGTTGAATTCCTGGACTTACTCGAAGAAACTTTTGATTCTGAAGCACGCAGCAAAACATTCAATACTTTTTTTTCTAATTCTTTATTGCTAAATTCATCGTATTTAACGTCACGAGATCTAGCATGAGTTCCAAGAAAAGTTTCAAGAAACTTGTGAAGAGAATTATTCTGTAATATTTGTTTTTGAAACATTGTATCTTGGAACCTGAGAAGCAATGATAGATTTGTGTTCCAAACATTAATTGCTTCTACCCAATCTTCTTCCATAAAGTTTCGAGGTTCGAGATCCTCAACATAAGGTGGAAAAATCAATTTGTCTGTTGTCATTTTTCAAGTTATCTCTTTATTTGAATGTTTTTTTTTGTAGTGCTCGATACACAAAAATTCTAGGAAAAAAGAAATTTTGTTTTTCTACAAAAAAAACAGTTGATGGCTACTTAAATTCTCTAAATTTAGCAATGATTTACGGATCATGCACAGTGACGCAAAAGTATTGATCACCTGGAAAACTTGTAATAAAGGTTACCGCCAAAAATTTGAAAAAATCATGACTGCAAACCACATGATTTTATTAATTATGCAACCAAAGTATAAAACAATTAAAAATATTTGAACCGTAAAAATACAATATTAAATTTTATTTTTATTTTCAATATGGGTCAAAAAAAATTAGTAAACATCCTCTTTCCGAAGTAGAATCTTCTGATGATGAAAAACGAAGTAATAAAAAACAAAAAGGCCGAAAGAGCAGTGAAAGAGAGGAAATAGACCAACGTAAAGAAAAAAGACAATCAAAAAAACCAGTTTTGATTGATATCGTTCAAGAAAAGGACGATGATGATAAAAGTCAAATAATCAGCATATGCATTATTTGTTTATATGTACAGTCAAACCTTGATATAACAAACCCTTGATATAGCGAATTTTTAAATCAAATATATTAAAATTCCCTTACTATAGTGAACTAGCCAATTAAATTCTTTAAAAAATTCGTTATAAACTTATAACGAAGTTGATATCCAGATCCTAGAATTCGTTATATCAAGAGTTCACTGTAGTCAGTATCCAAAAAAGGCATATGGAGAAAGAATTATTTTTAGTAAATTGATCACCTTTTCTAATGTGATTTCAAGCTCATCTGAAGTAATAAATAATCCAAGCGGAAGAGCTCTGACTAATATATTAAAAAAAAAAAATTATTATATAAAAAAATAATTAGATATATTATTTAAATCTAAATTTTATTATAATTATTACAACTAATTACAAAATAAAAACGAAACTATTGATTATAATAAAAATAAAATTCAATATATATGCTAAATTTAAATAAACTTGTTATTATTTTAACTATAATTTTAACTATATTAAGCTATAAACTACCATTTATTTCTTTTTTAGTCAAATGTAAAAATATATAATATACCTGCACAACTAGTATAGAAGAGAGTAATTGAAGTATTAAGAGGTTTAAATGAAGATGATGAATCCATATAACATAACTCGCCCGCCTGTTATATTTTTTCATGTACTCGACACATTAAATTAGTAACAATGCACAAAATAAATGCCTTTCTACTATTCACATTATATTCTTGTAAAACTGTTCTACCTCGATTTGAATCATTATAATCTTTGATAACTTCTGCTAAATGTTTAAATATTAGTTTACCATTATAACTGCCAAGTGTAGCTTTATGATATTGATGAAAAAGGTTAGAAATATAACTATATTCTGGATTATAAGCCCTATCCGCAAGTAATTCTAACAATTCCTGTTCATTTGCAGCATTAAGATAAAGTTCATCTTCATGAGTATATATTGCTAATGAAGGAAAATACTCATCTTTAAACAATTCTAAAATTTTTTCACAAATCTCTTTTTTAACAGATCGAAACTCCAGCAATTCTGCCGAATTAATGATATGATTATGTGTATATACTATGTTAATTTTTAAAGGATGGGTTTCTGAAAGTCATCAACATTCTAATCGAAAATAAATAGTTGCAGTACAACTTATATTTTGCATCTGAGATAATCGTTGATTTTTTGTCTCATGTTGACCTTGTTTTTCTTTACTTCATTGTTATGAATATAGTAGCGTAATTCTTGAAAAATTATCTGATTTTCTGTAATTTTATAACCTCTAGTTTCTGGCATTGTTGTTTTTTGAAAAAGATTGAAATACTATAAATCATTTACTTGCTGCTTCTTTATTATCAACATTTACAAAAACATCCAACTGGAAGTATGAAAATATAAAACCTTCATTTGTTTGGTATGGTGATAATTCCTTAAAATTATCAATTAAATATATATGATTTTGATAAAGTATCCTCTTCAAAGGCTTAAGTAAGTTCCAAGCAAAAATCTAAAAAATTTTTCTTTTAAAATATAATTTAAAGATTTAAAAATTATATTTATAAAAAGTTGAAACTTACATTTTCTGTAGTGATATTCATATTAAAAACTGCAGTAAAAGTAGTAGTGAAAACGGTAGTGAAGTGATGGTAAAAAGTGGTGGTAAAAAAAGGTGGTGAAGTAGTGATAAAGTGATGGTAAAAGTGATGTTGAAGTGTTGCTTATAACTGTGTTTAAAAATAATATTAAAAATATGCACAAAATTTCAAATTTTTCTAAATTTCAGTATATAAAAATATGCCTTTTATATATGAGAGAATTTTATTAATGGATTTTTATTAACTCTAATTTTGAATTAATAACTTTGTTGAAAATGAGTGGTCTTGTTATACTTTCAAGTCCAAAAGCAAAACAAGCAAAAAAGTAAAGGCCTTTTGAACAAAATGCAAAGTGAAAGACTAAGAAAAATTTTTTTTTTAAAAAAAAAGTAATATCTGATATAACGTATCTGTGATTAGGTTTCATATGATTATACATGTTATTGCTACGCATCTCAAATTTCTATTTTTTATTGGTTGAAATAAACAATTATCTGATTGTTTAATTATGAATTATAAAGTCAAGTCATGTGACTCGGTATAACCTGTCACACATTTTAGATTTACTGATCTTGATAAACTTGTAGTATGGCTTCTTGATTGACATTTCTATGAAACCCAAATTTGGTATATTTCTTGATAGACATTTCTGTGAAACCCAAATTTGGTATAATCATTTTGTGTTACTTTAATTAAAGTAACATAATACAAACGTTTTAAAGAACATTTTGATAATAAGTTTTAAATAATTAATGTGTTTTCTTATATGCAAATAATATAAATACATGAGAAGATTTTATTTTTTTAAAAAAAATCCTTTATATGTATTTCATATTATTTCATGTGATATTCTAAGATTGTATTATATTATTGATCTATTAAGAAAATATACCAAATTTGAGTTTCACAAAAATATTTATCAAGAAATATAACGAATTTGGATTTTCCAGAAATGTCAATCAAGAAGTATACTACAAGTCCATCAAGATCAATACTTTTACTACAGTGACATACTAAATGACCTATTTTCAATTCAATAAATTATTATTGTGTAAGTTTATTAAAATATTTAAATATATACAGTAGAATTAATAAAAAAAATTTTATTTGTTGCAAAGATATTTATATATATTATATTAGATTATATAAATTAAATAAATATAAACCTTTTATTGAAGAAGCCTAAAATGTTTTTATAAAATCAAAGAAATTTTATTACTAAAAAACAATTTTAATTTTTATTTAAAATTATATTTAAAGATTTTTAAAAGTACAAAATATAGATATAGAAAAATCAATTATATTTTAACAAATTTGTGATTAAATTTATAATAAATTTTGTAATTATTATAATTTATTCCTTTTATAGTTAATTAATATTTCATTTAATTTATAACTATTTCTATAATTAATACATTTGATTATTTAAAATCTTAATTTTAAAATTTATTTATGATTTTATAAATTGATCATTCTAATTAAATGATTTTTATTATTCAATTAAAATGATGTTTTTATAATTTAATTGAATGATTTATATATTAACTAAACAGAATGATATTTTTGATCATTTCTATTAATTGGAATTATATATTTATCATTTTTATTGAATGATTTTTATATTATTCAATTAGAATAATATTTTTAATTTTACATTTGAATGATATATTATAGAGTTTTGAATAAGTCAGGTTGAGCAAATTTTATCAAATTTAACTCAACTTGAAAAAATCCAGTCAAGTTGAGTCAAAAAATTTTTAAACTTTAACTCAATTCAACTTGAATTATTTTTTCGATTGAATGATAAATCATTCATTTTAAAGGAATAATAAAAGAATCATTCTGATAGAACAATAAAATAAATTATTCTAAAGAAATGATAAATAAATTATTCTAATAGAATGATAATGTATCATTCTAAAAGAACAATAAATAAAATTGTTCTAATAGAACAATAAAGCATTATTCTAAAGGAATGATAAAAGAATTGTTCTGATAGAATGATAAAATATCATTTATTGGAATGATAAATAAAATTGTATCTTAAGAACAATATTGCATTATTTTAAAGGAACAACAGAAAGAATTATTCCAATAAAATGATTAAACATTATTCTAAAAGAATGATAAATAAAACCATTCTGATAGAATAATAATAAATCGTTCTAAAGAAATAATAGAAAGAATTATTCTAATAGAACAATAATACATTGTTCTAAAGGAATGATAGAAAGAATCATTTTTATAGAACAATAATATATTATTCTAAAGAAACAATAGAAAGAATCATTCTGATAGAACGATAAAAGAATTATTCTAAAGGAACAATAAAAGTATTATTCTAATAAAATAATAATGTATTATTTTAATGGAATGATAATAAAATCATTTCTTAAGAATAATAATAAATCATTCTTTCAGAATGATAATTTAATCATTCCTTTAGAATGATACTTTTTATCATTCTATTAAAATAATACATTATTATTTTATTAGAATAATACTTTTATTGTTCCTTTAGAATAATTCTTTTATCGTTCTATCAGAATGATTCTTTCTATTGTTTCTTTAGAATAATATATTATTGTTCTATAAAAATGATTCTTTCTATCATTCCTTTAGAACAATGTATTATTGTTCTATTAGAATAATTCTTTCTATTATTTCTTTAGAATGATTCTTCTATCATTTCCTAAAAATGATATACTATAATTTTATCAGAATGATTTTTTTATCATTCTTATAAAATAATAATTTATCGTTCTATCAGAATAAAACTTCTATTGTTCTTTTAGAACTATGTATATTGTTTTATCTGAATGATTTTTTTATACTTTCTTTAGTTAAATTTATATTCGAGTTTAGCT